TTGCCCGAAACTGCGTTATAAATTTATTGTGTCGCAACTCCAGTTACAACATTCACGTTCCTACACCTTTAATAATTTCATTTGGTATCAGAGCCAGGTTTGCTTAAGTTATTAGCAGGATCCAGATGGAGTTTCCCAGAGAAGGTCTGTCAAACAACAGACCACCAGCCTTACTTGGAACAAACTTCTCCTACTGGAAAGCTCGAATGCAAATATACATTCTAGCACAAGGAGAAGGTGTCTGGAATGCTATAGAAAACGAATGGAAAACCCCAGTAGATGACAAAGGAAATACAAAGCCTAGAGCTGATTGGAGTGAAGAAGAGAGGACTGAATATGATTTTAACTCGAAAGCTATGAATGCAATATACGGAGCAGTAAGCGAAGACACATTTAAACTAATTGCGTCAACTCGCATAGCCAAAATTGCATGGGGTATATTGTGCGATCATCATGAAGGAAACACAACTGTGAGACAATCTAAGCTACAAATGATACAAACTGAGTTTGAAAATCTGAAAATGGAAGAGGAAGAAAACATCACCCAATTTAGTGCCAGAATCTTAAGCATATCTGGAGATGCATTCAATCTAGGCGAACCTATACCCGAGCATAGGATCGTCAAGAAGGTACTTCGTTCACTACCTAGGAGATTCCAAATGAAAGTCACTGCAATCCAGGAAAATAAAGATCTGAACACTTACAAATTGAGTGATCTAATAGGAAATCTTCAGACCTATGAACTGGAGATATTACAAGTCCAGAAAAATAATGGTAAAGGAATAGCGTTACAATCCAGACAAGAAGAGAACTCTGAGACAGATTCAGAATCTTTGGAACAGTCGATCGCCCTATTGACAAAGAATTTTAACCGAGTCCTTAAAAAATTCAATAAATCCAGGAATAAGAGTTCTCCGAACAACCAAGGAAATACTTCAAATCAGAAAACATACAATCCAAAGAGAAAAGAGAATAATAGTACAGATGGAATACAGTGTTATGAGTGCAAAGGTTTTGGACACATTCAAGCAGAATGTGCCACATACTTGAAAAGAAAGAATAAGACGTATATAACAACTCTGAGTGAAGATTCAGATAGTGAAGAAGATGATAACAACACAAACTTTGTGGCATTTACTGCCAGTCATGAAGACAACAATAGTGATGACTCACAAGAATTACTTGAAGCATACACTCAGCTAAATGCCAAGTGGGAACAAATCATCAAGAAAAACCTATAACTCATGGAAGATAATCACTACTTGAAGAACGAAAAGGAACGAGTTGAAAATCAATACAAGGAGCTCCAACATGAACTGGTAGACGCAAAAAATAGGGAAGCTAAGCTATTACAGGAAATTAAGGAGCTTACCGAAAGGCCCAAGACTCCAAACACGGTCACCAGTGAGAATAATCAACCTGAAATCCAGGAAGTGTCACAACAGCACTTCCGACATCGAAGAAGAATAAGGTGTTACTATTGTCACAAACTAGGACACATCAAAGCACATTGCTACAAGAGACAAAATGATTACTACTACAGACATAACAACAGAGCATGGCAGCCACACAACAGAAACACTAGCAAAAAGGTTTGGATAAGAAAAGACCAAAATGTTGCATATACCTCCAAAACAAACAAAGAACATGATATATGGTATTTTGATAGCGGATGTTCCAGACATATGACTGGAAATCCAGACAACTTAGAAAACATACATTACAAGGATGAAGGATATGTTACCTTTGGAGACGGAGGAAAAGGTAAAATCATTGCAAATGGAACTCTGAGTGTTCATGGATTGCCAAAACTATCAAGAGTATTCCTGGTGCAAGGGTTAAAAGCAAATTTGATTAGCATAAGTCAACTATGTGAAGATGAACTTAAAGTGGAGTTCACAAAAAATAGTTGCAACGTTCTTAATCAGAACCATGAGTGTGTTATGATTGGAAGAAAGTCCTCGAATAAGTGCTACACATGGAATGGTGATCAATCCTGTTTACAGACAACCATCAATCAAACACAAGTGTGGCACCAACGAATGGGTCACATAAACTTTCATGACATGAAAAAGGGTTTGAAGAAAGGAGTTTATCGAGGAGTCCCAACACTCGACATAAACGAAAATCATAAGTGCGATGCATGCCTTGAAAACAAAATAACCCGATCAGCTCATAAGAAAACCACATGAATCCACACTTCTAGAATCCTAGAACTACTCCACATGGACCTATTTGGACCAACACAAACAGAAAGTATAGGGGGAAAGAGATACGTCTATGTAACAGTTGATGACTATTCAAGGTTCACATGGGTAAACTTTCTTAGGGAAAAATCTGAAGCTTTTTCTATTTTCAAAACCCTTATCATTAAAATTCAGAATGAGAAAGAGGGAAGAATAGGAAAGATCATACGTTTAAGAAGTGACCATGGAAGAGAATTCGAGAACTCAAAGTTCAAAGATTATTGCGCCGAAAATGGAATCCATCATGAGTTCTCCGCCCCAAAGACACCCCAACAAAATGGGGTAGTTGAACGGAAGAATCGAACCATCCAAGAGATGGCAAGAGTCCTCTTAAATCACAAAAGACTTCCATCAAAATTCTGGGTAGAAGCTGTCAACACAGCATGTTACTTGATAAACCGAGTATTCATTCGAAGAGAAATCAACATGACACCATACCAAATCTGGAAAGGAAGAACACCAAATTTAAAACACACACATGTGTTTGGAAGCAAATGTTATGTTCTAAAAGATAGAGAACCATTGGGAAAATTCGATATCAAAGGAGATGAAGGGATCTTCCTAGGATACTCCTCAAACAGCCGGGCATATCGAGTATATAACCTTAGGACAGACACTGTCATGGAGTCTATCAATGTTATCGTCAATGATACAGCAGAAAATTTTCCCTCAAATGATGAAGAGATAACTGATGTTGAAACAGCAGTTCCAACATCAAACACCCAGAAATCAGAACCAGAACCACTAGAAAAGAAAGAAGCTGTTGATCCAGATGAAAAAGAAGAAGTTCACACCGCTGATGAAACTAGGGTACAGAAAAACCACCCAATAGAGAATATCATAGGTGGACTAAATGAAGGAATCAGGACTAGAGGAAAGAAACGTAACTATCAAAAGATGGAAGAAGGTGACTATGACTACTGCTACACTTCAAAAATTGAACCCAAAAACATCACAGAAGCTCTAAAAGATGAATTTTGGGTAGGAGCCATGCAAGATGAATTACAGCAATTCAAGAGACACAATGTCTGGGAGTTAGTCCCTAAACCGGAATATGCCAATGTCATAGGGACAAAATGGATTTACAAAAATAAAACAGATGATCAAGGAAACATCATACGTAACAAAGCCCGACTAGTGGCCCAAGGTTACACTCAAGTTAAAGGAACAGACTTTGGGGAAACATTCGCCCCAGTAGCCAGAATCGAATCAATTCGACTACTCATAGCAGTAGCCTGCATACTCAAGATAAAACTTTATCAGATGGATGTGAAAACTGCATTCCTGAATGGGTATCTAAAAGAAGAAGTCTATGTAGCCCAACCAAAAGGTTTTGAAGACCCCCACTCTCCACAAAGAGTTTTCAAACTTAACAAAGCACTATATGGACTAAAACAAGCACCACGGGCTTGGTATGAACGTCTCACTGACTTTCTAGTCAAAAAGGGTTACATGAGAGGCAGCGTGGACAAAACCCTATTTTTCAAACACTACGGTCATGATATAGTCATTGCCCAAATATATGTTGATGACATAGTATTTGGCTCAACACTTGAGGACCACAAAGACCAATTCATCACCAATATGGAAGGAGAATTTGAAATGAGCATGGTCGGGGAACTAACCTACTTTCTTGGTCTACAAATCCGACAACTGGACAATGGAATCTTTATTTCCCAAAGCAAGTACGCCAAAAGCTTAGTCAAAAGATTCGGTCTAGAAGAAAGCAAAGTTGTCAGAACACCTGTTCCAACAACAGAAAGAATTTCCAAAGATATTGAAGGAAAACCGGTTGAACAAACCCTATATCGAAGCATGATAGGAGGGTTACTGTATCTAACTGCTAGCAGACCAGATCTAAGCTTCGCAGTAGGAATTTGTGTAAGATACCAAGCCAATCCAACTGAACAACATTTAAAAGCGGTCAAAAGAATCATTAAATACGTAAAAGGGACATCCGATCTAGGAATTTGGTATTCATTTGACACCAATCATCATCTCTCAGCTTATTGTGATGCTGATTGGGCAGGTAACATAGATGACAGAAAAAGTACGTCAGGAGGATGTTTCTTCCTAGGTACAAATCTAGTATCCTGGATTAGCAAAACACAAAGCTCAATATCCTTGTCAACAGCAGAGGCTGAATACATTGCAGCAGGAAGCTGTTGTACACAACTACTCTGGATGAAACAGATGCTGGAAGACTATGGAATACAACAATCAACCATGATAATACATTGCGACAACAAAAGTGCAATAGACATCTCAAAAAATCCAGTACAGCACTCAAGAACAAAACACATAGATATCAGACATCACTTTATTAGAGAATTGGTAGAAGAAGGAATCATCAGTCTTACCCACATTAACACAGAAAAGCAACTGGCAGATATCTTAACCAAAGCTCTTGATGGAAACCGTTACACAAAACTAAGGGCTGAAATAGGGCTCTGCACCTTTTAAAAGTCACACATAAAGAAAGAAAGAAGACTTGGGCCACACCTGCAAGATAAAATCCAATTCCGGCCCATAAAGGTATCAGACGTCACACATAAAGAAAGAGAGAAGAGCATGGGCCATATCTACAAAAATCTAAACACAATCCGGCCCACATGGTCTCAGCCATTAAACACCAGACCCAAACCCAAACCCATATGTCTTAGCCCCATTTCATCAAAACAGAGTCGTCTTCTTCACCCGACTACTCTCACCATCAACCCTAAACTCTTACGCTCACTCTCACATACCACAATCATGGTGAGAACCAGAAATCAAAGGATGGGAAAGATACCTCGAAAAGAAGCGACCTCAAAATTCGTAGGTACCGGAGAATCCTCCAATCCAGTGTGCATTGAAGAAGAAAGCCCTACAAATGTCGCAACAAATCCTGTCCCCATATCCAGAGTTCCGTTTGGGAAACCACAAGAACAGAAAGCCACCACACCAGGTAATCAAAATCTCCCTCTCATCAATCCTGAAGATCAAACTGAATGCATGCCCATTGCGGCTGATCTAGGGGACAATCGAATTGTCGACCCAAACGATCTTGTTGTGCAACTTCGGTTTGCTATGAATCGAGGTTGGGAACCCGATCTAGGGTCCTATGCCAGCTCCAAAGAAAACTCGATAGAGTCAGAGACAGAGGAAAACGAGGTTCTTCATGAGACAAATCGTTCTCCTTCACCACAAAATGAAGAACACACATCACCCATTGAACCCCCAATTCCAATTTCCCGGGTCAGCAACAACCCTAGAAAACGGAACAGACCCGACCCATTTGAAGGGGCTGACCCTAGAGCCAAAAGGCCAAACGACTTTCCAATATGGGCAGGACCCCCTCAACGACCTCCAAACATTCCACCTGCACCTCCAACGAACAAAAAATCAAAAAGAGTCATAACAGAGGATGAACAGGATTGGTCACCCCAGGAAGATTATGGAAGCCCTGGGAATGAAAGGATAATGACCAGAGCGAAAAAGAATACCCAACCATCTGACAGAATAAGCCACCAACAGATAAAAACCACCACCAAAAGGGCTAAACTGTCCAGCAAGGCAAAAGGAAAACAGAAAGCAGTTACCACAGATGACCTGTCAAACCTACCAAAACCTCATAGTGCCATCCTCTTGAAAAGGGAATCAGCAGGACTCTTGAAGAGAATAGTGGGAAGAAAGATTATAAGTCAGAAAATCCTTGACATAAGCAAACTAGACAATCCAGACCAAATACAAAACATTCTAGTCACAAACCAACTCCTAGGATCAGTGACAAAAATTGAGCCTTATGAAGAAAAGGTGGTACAGGAGTTCTATTGCAACCTAACAAAAACCATCTCAACACCAAGCAATCCCATGTATGGCAAGGCCTACCTAAGAAACAGGTTCTATGACTTCACACCTGACATTATTAACAGACATTTAGGGACATCAGAAGCAGAACAAACTGTCGAGATAAATAGTGAGCAAGTTGCACATGAACTTACAGCTGGAAATGTTATTTTTGAGAAGAACAAAATCAAGGCAGCATCGCTAACCAGCAAATATGCTATCCTCCAGAAGATAGCCATTACCAACTGGATGCCATCACTGCATGAGTCAACTGTAAAATGGGCCCTAGCAGATCTTCTATACAAGATAGGGAAAGGAATAAAATTCAACCTGGGGAACATTATTCACACTCAGATTATAAACCTGGCAGAGGATACCAAGTCCAACACTTCTCTCATTTTTCCAAACCTTATATTTGCCATCCTAGCAGAACAAGGACTCAAAACACATGGACCCAAAATCAGTGTCAAGAACATCAACACCACTGTGAAACTGAGGAAAGGAGGTCATCAAAATGATTTAAAGACAACAGCACCAAGATCTAATCCTCTAGATTCTAAGACATTGATCAGCTATTTTGAAGGAAGACTAACAGAACTAGAACTCTCAGAAAAGGAGCTTCTGAGAAAACATTTGGACATCAAGGAAGAAAAAGCTGAGATTACTGAATGGCTAACAGTTTTAAAAGCAAGTGAAGAAGAAGAACCAGAAGAGGAACACTCTCAGGATGAAAATGCCGAAACCCCTGTTTCAACACCAGAAGAAAGGACCTAATCTTTAGCAAAAAAGGGGGAGAAAAGAAACTTTTTGTGTACATCTGTAAATTAGGAAAATTTTTTTTTTGTACATCTGTAAAGCAGGTCTTTTGGAAACAGAAGCAGTTCACTCTTGAAGCAGAAGCAGGTACTGAAGAAGCAAGCCTTTTGGAAACAGAAGCAGTTCACTCTTGAAGCAGAAGCAGTTTTTTTTTTAGCAGAACTTTTATGAAGCAGGACTTTTGAGGGCTCCTGTGAGCAGCTGGAAACATAACAGTGTTCTTATTATGGTTTATTCATCCATCACACTGTTTGATCTCCACCAGTTGCACACCTACACTAAGCAACAATTCATCCCACTCAAATCTTTTTCCCAAAGAAAGAAGACCAGAACTCGTTTGACCAAACCCACAAATCACAACAGCAATAAGCTAACACACTAAGGGGGAGTCAAACAGCTCAGACAAACCCAATAAAATTAAATAAAGAAGATCCACAAATTAAGGGGGAGACCAACCACACATGCCAACTCATACAAAGGGCTCCAAGCACAAAGTTAACGTTTTTGCTAAAAATTTGACAAAGGGGGAGATTGTTGACAAGTTTGTCAAATTCCAGTCAAAAAAAGGATCACCCGGTCAAACAAGGATTAGGAATTAGATTCTCAACCAAAATAGGAATAGCAACCCTATTCCTATCCAAACAATATTTCTCGGCCTATAAAAGAAGCTACATCACAATCTCTCAACTTACGCTTTCAACACCTATCTGTGAGCACGAGAGTCATTGAGAAGAGATACCCAATCCCCTTGAAAAGTAGTACGAGTGTTTAGGTTACAATCGTTTTGATAGGATATCATATTGTGTAATCCCCGTTCCCTAAAACACGTGTACTTTAAATATCAAGCTTTTAGTGGATTTAGGCAAATTCTCAAATCGAGAAGTGCCTCGCAGTTTAGGGTTGCTTGCCCGAAACTGCGTTATAAATTTATTGTGTCGCAACTCCAGTTACAACATTCACGTTCCTACACCTTTAATAATTTCAATACATATTGAAATTAATCAATGATGTAACACTAGCAATATTTATTGGAATCTTTTTGTAATTTGTATGGCTTTTATTCCTTTTGTATTGACATTCAAATTTCTTATGGATAGTGGGAAGGATATTAGATAACAATTACATTCAAATTTCAAATTTCTTATTCCTTTTGTACTGACATTCATATTTTTAAGGATCTGAGTTTGGTATAAATATATAATTAATTTTGTTTTTTTTATTTTTTATTTTCAGATAACAAAATCTAAGGAAGTTTAATCTAAGACACACAATCAAGATGTCATTCCCTACTCCTAAGCGAAAGCGCCATATGCCACAACCAAATTTGAATCAAGATATTATCACAGAAATCCTTAAAAGGCTGTCTGTGAAGTTTATGCTGCAATTTAGGTGTGTTTCAAAAGCTTGGCGTGATTTAATCTCATCTCCAGAATTTGTCAAATTCCACCTACATTTTCAATCGAAAAAAGATAATAAGGTCATGACTCATAGCAGCGTAAATTGGATTACTAGCTATATGTCCTTGTTTTCTATTACAGAGAAGAAGCAATCATCATTTCGCAAGTTTATTACATATGACGGCTTGGTCTTAATCCCTGAAGGTGGTTTTGAATTGTTGGGTTCTTGCAATGGGCTCCTTTGCTTTCGTGCTAAACCGTATAGAATAATCATTTGGAACTCATCATCAAATGGAAACATCAAGACAATCCCAGATGTCTGGCAGTTGGGCAACATCAACATTTTTGGATTTGGGTACGATGAGTGTAATGATGACTATAAGGTTGTTTATGCTTATTATGATGGCAATGGTGATGAGACTGTAGTCTTGGTTTATAGTTTTAAGCATGGGTCATGGAAAAGAAGTGAAAGAGGATTTATTAGTGGGTTTGTTCATCCAAGAATTGCTGTGTTTGTGAGTGGTAATCTCAACTGGTGCAACAACAACTTACATGAAAGTGAATGGAATTGGGATATAATTTCTTTTAACTTAACCACTGAAACTGCCAAACCTATGGCGTTACCCAGCCATGAACATGCGGCCGCTATTTGTATAAGTGAATCAAGAGGATTGCTTTTTGCAGGTTTTCATCACAAACGTCAAATGGAAGTTTGGGTGATGAATGAGTATGGAGTTGAAGAATCTTGGATTAAACTAGTCTGCATTTCAAACTTACCAGTTCATCATCCAGTTTCCCGGGGTTTCGAGAACACTACATACATGGCTATATGTAATTCAAAACTTGCAATTGCACATGTTTCTGAAAATGGGGATATTCTAATGATGGTTGGACATCAGCTAAAGCTCCATAGGCCTAATGCTAAAGGGGGAAAGAATTTTAATATCTCCTTTGGTCTTGGTTATATGGTAACTAGTTACGTGGAGACCCTTGTTTCCCGTCCATGATTGGTCTGTAAATGATGATAGATGAAGTGGGCTACCAGGCGGCCAACAACAACAACAACAATGATTATTGTGTTATTGGTATTTTAGTGTTGTGAAGTAAATTTTACTAGCCATCGCTGTTGAGAACTATTGATTTGTGTGAATGCGAAAAAGGTAAGCTATCCTAGAAATGATTATAAGTTAAATTTCATTGCACTTTAAAACGTACAGACACATTGTTTTCGATATATATGTGAAGCTTTGTACTCTTGGACTAGACGTATTCTGATCTTAACCCCCAACGCATCGTGTTAAGGGTTATGACTTTGAGCGATTATATTATCAATTGTAATTTTGAGGATAGAAAAATGGAGACAAAGATGAAAGCTTGAAACTTGAATATGGGGTAAATTTCTTCCATAGAGTGGGGTTGTAATTTATTGACTATTGACATTTATCAATTTTTTTCTCAAACTTTTAATTTGACCATATATTGTCTCATGACTATTGATCTTTAACAATTTTCATCATTTACGTACTTTTGATATGACCATATATGGTCCGTTGAGTATTAATTTTGTTCTAAATTTAAAATATGAACTAAATCTAGAACAAAATCAATAGTCATTGGACTATTTTCTCCTCGAATACCTTCTACCGTTGGAACTTCAAGAACATTCCCGTTAAGTTATGGTATAGAGTGCTTTCCAAATTTAGTCCTTTTTATTGGTTCAGTACCCTATGCAACTTTATCCACAACCTTGGGAAACTGATGAGGTTCTTCTACCCGTCTCTTAGTCCCTTAGCTTCCAATTAGTCAGTCACCAGGTTGATAGAGTCCTTGCCAAATTTGCTCTCATCGAAAACGTTCTCAGATGAGATTTGAACATCTTCTTCTGGTTCCTCATCTCCTTCCAGATTCTCCTTTGTCTCCAAAATTTCAATAGTGGCTCCAACTTCTTATGATTTCTCCACTCCTTCCGGAACAATTGTTGGAACATCTACTCCTTTCAGACCAACTTCTTTTGATCTCTCTATTCCTTCCAGAGTAACTTCAGCTTGTGGCTCCCTTCAACCATTGACATGGACGAATGTCCAGGAGCCACTGTTAGGCTTGCCTCATGTTCAGCTCTGGAGAGATGGGTGGCAGCTTCTAGATTTCACCGATCATAATTATCTCTGTCATCGTCGTGGATAGAAGGCCCTTATTCTTTAGCTGTTTTCTTCCCAATCAACTTAGAACCTTTTTGGGTCAAGAATTCTTCTAAGGGACTAAATTTATAAATTTTAGAGTGCATTTCATCTCCAATTATGTTGTAGACTGCGTCTTCCATTACACGCATATTTATAACACATTTTTAACTATATTTTACTCCATACTATAGCATATTTTGTGCATAAAGTTCCCCGAATCATGTGTGTATTGAGACTTATTTGTGTGCTTTATTGTCTTAGGCATATGATTGCAGTATATTTCTCAATCAAATAATTACTCGGAGTAACGAGTTATCGATGCACAGGGAAGTGGGACGTATCAAGCACTAGCTACTAATCTATTCTTGTGAAGCTAATCCTAACGAAAGACATGGATGATTGAGTGAAACTAATTTAAAAACAAAGTGTGCAGGTTTGGGAAAACAGTAGAGAGAGAATGAGATTCCTGAAATTCAAGTATTTAATCACCTAGTGCCAATCTTATGAACAATATTAAATCTGGGTTTAAACAAGTGCGAGAATGCCAATAGGAGAAATAATTACTCCCGTAATCTCTAACGTAAGTGAATATTATTTTCCATCCTGTCAAATCAAGATACAACAAAACAACACAAAGAACTACACCAAATATTCCCAATAGTAATGACAATTTCAACAATTAATCAAGATCTTTATACAAGAAACATGAATCAAAACCACTTTCCCTGAGGATCAAATCAATATATAGATTTAAAAGCTCTAATACCAATTGAGATTTCAAGTGTTCCTCGATAATATCCGATTGACCTAAACTTACTTAACTGTTTATTTCAATTACAAATACTGACTCAATTTTGGTTTAATCAGACGTTAAGCTAGATTACAAATTTGTGTAGTAAACTAATCAAATGGTAAGAAAATGAACACAAGGGTTTGTTTACCTAGTTTGATGCAATCACATATACGTCTAAAGAACCACCAACGATGGATCCAATTCATTATCTCCAAAGATGTTCAAACCGATAGTAAGAGAACTGTCTCACTAGTGATATGATATACCCTAGTTTGTATGTACCCAATATGCAAAACACCATAGATGGGCTATAGAGCTCGAAGAACCACACTTTCAGCTATCCGAAGGAGATCGGAGATCCATGTTCCAACTGTCCGACTCAGTGATTCACCCATCGCTCATCCAGAGTTAACATGGAACACGACCCTCATGTAAAGATTTCCTCAAGATCAATGTAACTTAGTTCATCAATGGATATCTTCAGAGAGAGAGAGAGTTCTGAAGAGTATATTTTGTGAATTCTATTAGATTGATGAAATCTTCAATTAATTCTACATTATCTCTTTATAACTACCTTTTCTAAATGTT